TTTTCAATGGGTGTCTGTTTTAACCCATCCCCTAGAAAAGTGAGGAAAATTTTTCAGAATTAAAGATGAAAATTCCATAAACTTTTGGAAGCACAGGGACTGCAAGGAGATGTTGTTTCATTTACCTGTGTGAAATGACGATTAAATTTCTTCTGTCTTGCACTACTGGTGGCTGTGGGTGATCTTGTAGATGATTTTGCGGTTGCAGCGGGAGCTTGCGAGCCTCCAGTCATCGACGGAGTACTTCTGCTCAGAGGTTTCGACAATTGGCTGCAAAAAAAAACACAAGTTTCACTTAAAAACCTTTTGAAAAATTAGAGACATCCGTAATTCTGACAATTCTTCAAGCTCAACAACTCCAATTTCACAGTCTCTCAATTGGAAATCATCTCTCAAACGAGATAATTCAGACAGAAATTTAGCTGAATGTCTCGTCTAGATATAATTCTGTAGAAAAAGTTGAATAATGAGAGCTCATTGCAGGTATTATTAAAGCAATTTTCAACCTGAGATGTGACAATCGAATTGTTATGTTCACTGAATTCGTGTTATAATGACAATAATTACACATTATTTCTCTTTTTTATTTTCTCAATCAAACTTTTTCCAATAATAATCAACTTCATGTTTTATTTTGTCGGAACTGTTTAAGGAATTGAATCGATAAATTTTTCTTCAATTCCGCGAGAATCACCAAGTGTTCGACTGTCGATTGAATCTTATACTCCACAAGTCGTTGCTCCACGTGTCAGAATGAATCTTTGGATGAGCTCTTCTCTCGTGATTCGTCATGTTGGACACCTGCAGATATCAACTGACGAATAATGCCCAGTTGCCACTGGCTAACACACGTTATCACAAAAATGAGTGGGGGAAACTTTGAGAACTCTCAGGCTTATCAGGAACTGAGATAAAATGATAGCAAAATCCATAAGCCGTTAGCCGCAATGATAAAATCGGGACTAAAGCCACATTTAATGGCATAAATTGAGAGAACATTTTTTTCGGGATAAAATTATGAACTAACTATTAAGTTAATTATTAATTAACTTTTTGATAATCACAGCTATAGGCGTTTTTGATAATTCCCACCGATGATGCTGTTAACGGAACAATTCAATTAAAAATTACTGTAGCTTCATCATTCTGACGCAATATGAATGAAATGAAGAGAAAATCGTTACATCAGAGATTTTCCATGAAGAATTAAGACAAGGTTTTGTCTCAGGGCAATATCAACTGATATTCCACCTGAAAGACTTCTTCTAATTAATTCTTCGGATTATTCAAATGTTTTAATCACCTGTCGTTGCATTTCTGCAACGCTGCATGACTGGGGCTTCTTGGAGGTGCTGTGTGGCTTGCAACAGTCAGCTGTGAACCACCTGCTGATGACTGCTGGGGATGTTTGTCCTGAGATGAATGTTGGGTGCTTCCTACAGCCTGGAGAGGAGTACTGGGTGCAGAACGAGCTCCTATAGATCCAGCAGACCTGAAAAATTAATAAAACA